TCTCGACGAGATCGTGCATGCAGAACCAAAGTTCGAGCAGATAGTATGGCTAGCAATTGCCCATCATTGGCTGGATGAGTCGTCTGCATGAGGCCCAGCTCCCACCCGGCGATCTGGTTCATCTCCATGGCTTCTGCGACCGCCGCGATCCACAGCAATCCGGTGGAAAGAACGACACCTCATCTTTTTGAAAGGCAACGAGGAAACCTTACCAAGACTTCGCGTTTATCTCAGACCAGCAGATGTACCAGTGTACTCCGTCAGCCAGTTCTCGATGCTTGCTCGAGAGTCAAAGTGCACCTTGAAGCTGCCTTCCATGTTTGTTGAAAGAGCCAGGACTTTACAATTCAGCTCTAGCTCTCTGTTTTACGCAAGCCCTCGGGATCTCCATGATGAGCAAGTGTCATCGCGACGTGAGCTTTGGATCTGTGGATCTGGGGGCTAGTGCCGTTGAATAAGTGCGCTGAAAATGTCCATTTGGTCAACCGATTACCGAAAGCAAGTATTCGACGGGTCGAGAGGTGCTGGGGTCGAGATTCAGTCACACGGCGTGAGACCTTTGTGACGCAACTCGTGGCTATTCGTGCTGCTCTCGTTGCTAGTGGAAGCCATTGCTAATGACAGCCGACGCCCGCGGGGAGCACCAACTCATGAGGTAAACTCCTGATCTTCAGCGATTACGAAGAATATTTTGGGCGAGGACTTAAACATTCGTACGATCAAGCCGGCAGCTTCAAGAAGCTATCGGCACGAGACCGAACATAGGTCCGCATCCGACCCGACGATCGGCTGGCATGAATCAGACCCATGAGCGACTCCGCCAAGCTCGCATCAATCAATCTCGTCGTTGCTGGTGTACGTGGATGCGACATCTCGGAAACCGACTTCGTGGGTCGTTGTGCAGCAGTTCCGACTTCGTCCGCAAGTGGGCGACGTGCTGCGAGCCCCCCCGCCTCGAAGAGTGGATGATTTCATGCGAAACGAGATCCGGGTACAAGTCCATCACCTGAAGGATTTGATAGGCAAGAGAATGGGCTTTGTCTGCATCGATGCGGTCCCGAAGACATCGAAATCGTGTTGCCAAACCGACAACAAATTAGCGTCAAAGTCTACTGGGACGCAAAACAGCCGGAGAGAACACCGCGGCGTCGGTCGAGAACGGTTGATGACGGCCTTGACAAAAGGCTTGGTTTCTCGGCCGGGCCCTGCCGACCGGGGACTGGCAGCCGACCGCTTTCTTTCTGGCAGACTGATGGTGCAGAAATTTTCTTGAATGACAGGGACCGGCGAAAGACTGTCCCGAACAAACAAGGTCGAGCGTACGGTTGAGTGGGACTTTTAGTCAACGAACACCAGACCTCAGGGATTCCATGACTCCTGTAATCCAGCATCTCGGAATCGACAACGATAATTGCGCGTCTGGAAGCATCGAGCGGTGGGCGCTTGAGTAATAGCACGTGTCCTGGACTCATCGCCAAGGGTGCGGCTCAATTTAACTTTTTCTGATCCAGCGACGAACATCCTGGATCGTGGGAGGTTTTCTCATCCTCAATATCGAAATAACGTGGCGGCCATGTTTACGACCGAGCTTGACCTCGACGACCCTCGACATTGACGACCGCCGATCTGCTGTCTGCCAAAAGGGCCGATTGCCCGCGTTTGGGGGTTGCAGGAGTGGATTTCCCCCTCACAACTCTACTGAGGTGAATCTGGGCCAGCGGGATCCCCAGAAGCCAAAAAGTCCCCCATGGTCAGATCTCCATGGGCACACTCAAAGGTTCGATTAGTCACGAACGGGTTCGTCTCTCATGCTTGGTGGGGTGGTTACAATTTCTGTTTTGATCCACAGTTCGGCCAACTTCCGCATCAGTCGATAGCTCCGGGCTCTTTTTCCCGACCTCGCAATCGACCAGGGGCACGCACTTCCTCAAATTTTGTCTGTAACCCGCTGCGGGGGTGGACCAGCAAATCGTGTGATGTGCCAGACCCTTCGACGCTCCAGTGCCGCTTTGCGGGTGAGCGGGGTACGGAGACGTCCACGGGGGATCACGGAGAAGCGCCGCCACTCATGTACACACCGCACTCTTCCCCGTGTTGGAGGTGCCGAAGGATTCTGAGGGGGTTGGAGATGCTGGTGGTCGTTTGTGCAACGCTCCGTCTTTCGGTATTCTCTGGGCGAATGCCAAAGACTGCCAAACTTGGCCGATCAGCGTTCACGAGAGCAGTTTCATCGCTTGTTGGTAAACGCCGACGGCCGAATATGGTCAACACAAGCACCCAAGCATATCAGATCCTCCCTCCAGGCTGACCTAATCAACCCCAGATTCACGAACACGCTGCACACCATTCCATGACAATGAAATCCCCATACACGCGGGTGAGTCTGGAGCATGCAAGATGATGGCGGTCTGGTCCAACTAGCTCCAGTAGGACCGAAAAAGCTAGCAGGACCGCGCAACAATAATACGAAAAGTAGCCCACGAACCAAGAGCATGGGACCCATCTCGTTCGAGTTTGCAGAGCCCTCAAAACAGAGTCGCATCAAAACCTGACACATCCAATCCCGATCAGGCAAAAACGGCCCCATCACGAGAGGATGTCTCCCTGGTCAACCCGCCCAGGAAGGCAGTCCTTAGCGTCAATCGCCGTAACAATAAGTACCGATCTCATCCCATGCTTTTCACCATGATCATCGTGTCTACTCGGCTCGTCTCTAGCGATTGCTTGTTTCACCAGCACCAGCACGAGAGCCTTCAATCGCCTTCTCTCGATCGTCGACGCACATCTCGGCCATTGCCCTGTCACTACGATGGCTGTCGAAGCGACGTCCGCCGCTGAGGCGCGCACGAAGCTGGCTTACCAGAACAGATGGAAGACCATTGCCTCCAACCCCAAGATTGTCGTCATCGCTCTGTTCGCATCGTAAGTCTCCTTTCATCTTCCTGAAGATCATTCGGTGTCACAAGCCCGCAAAGCTTCTCTTCGTATGCCCATGACCTAGCTAACTCTGGGGAAACAGCTTCGGTGGTTTTGAATATGGATACCAACAAGGTGTGCTCGGCCAATCGCTCGTCATGACGCGCTTCAAGGACAACTTCCCGTCCGTCGTCGGCTCCTCCAGCGCCACCGGTTGGTTGACCTCCATTCTCCAGCTTGGAGGTATCCTGGGCTCCGTCAGTGCTGGTGTCTTTGGCGAGGTCTTCTCTCGCAAGTACACTATGTTCTCCGCCTGTCTTTGGGTTGTCCTCGGTAGCTACCTGTACACTGGCGCAAGCTACCACAAGCCCGAGCTCCTCTACGCCGGCAGATTCTTCACTGGTCTCGGTGTCGGAACCTTCTCCGGTGTTGGGTAAGTTCTCACTTTATGTGCTCGCTTCTGGCGCATTCATGCTAACCTGTCGCAGTCCTCTCTACAACGCCGAACTCGCCGCTCCTGAGATGCGTGGATTCATCGTCTCTTTCTACCAATTCGCCACCATTCTCGGTATCATGTTGTCTTTCTGGATTGGATACGGCAGCAACTACATTGGCGGTACCGGCATCGATCAGTCTGACCTTGCCTGGAAGCTGCCCTCCTACATCCAGGGTATCCCCGCCGCCCTTTTGGCCCTCGGCATTTGGTGGCTTCCCTTCTCCCCTCGTTGGCTCGTCAAGCAGGGCCGTGACGAGGAGGCTGTCAAGACCATTGCCTACCTCCGCAAGCTCGATGTTGAGAGCGAGCTCGTCCAGGTCGAGTTCAAGGAGATCAAGGCTGAGGCCCTCTTTGAGCAGCGTTCGTTCCAGAAGGCGTTCCCCCAGCTGGCCGAAAAGGAAAAAACCAGCGTTTGGATGCGAGAGGTCGCTCAGTACTGGCAGATTCTCCGCTCGTGGTCCCACTTCAAGCGTGTTGCGACCGCATGGCTGGTCATGTTCTGGCAGCAATGGTATGTCAAGCAGCTCTGAACAGGCCCAACTAGATGCTAACGATTCCGCAGGTCTGGTATTGATGCCATCATCTACTATGCCTCCAACGTCTTCCAGAGCCTGGGTCTCACTGGCGGCACCACCGCTCTCCTCGCCACCGGTGTTACCGGCGTTGTCTTCTTCATCTCCACCCTGCCTGCCATGGCCATCATTGACAAGGTCGGCCGTAAGCCCATCTTGATCGTCAGCTCAATCGTCATGTTGATTTCTATGATCATCCCTGCCATCATCGTCGCCAAGTTCAGCCACGACTGGCCTGGTCACCCCGTCGAAGGTTGGGTCGCTGTTGCCTTCATCTGGCTTTACGTGAGTACCCTACCACCATGTTATCATCCCACATATCGTTGCTAACAGTCCTGTAGATCGCCGGATTCGGTGCTGGATGGGGACCCGTCAGTTGGACTCTCGTCTCCGAGATCTTCCCGCTGTCTATCCGTGCCAAGGGAGCGTCCATCGGTGCTTCAAGCAACTGGCTCAACAACTTCGCCGTCGCCTTCTACGTGCCCTCGATGCTCGAGGCCTGGGAGTGGGGAACCTACCTCTTCTTCGCCGTCTTCCTGTTCTGCGGCATTCTCTGGGTGCACTTCTGCCTGCCCGAGACCAAGGGTGCCACCCTGGAGGAGATGGACCGCGTGTTTGGCAGCAACACTGGCGCTGAGGACAGCATTATGCTCGAGCAGGCTAGACGCGACGTCGGTCTCACCGAGGAGCTGGAGGAGAACGCCATTCACGCCGAGAAGAAGGGTCTTCATGAGACTCAGCATGAGAGCGTTTAAATAATGCCGTCGGAGTGACGACTAATATGCTTCAATACGAAGCTTGATACCCATTCTCTCATGATGCGGTCATGGGAGATAGTAATGTAGTGCGCAGAGTAATCCATTCCTTGTGGTTTCTGGGTTTCAATGAGATCCATGGATATATGATGTCTTCTCACAATACTGCCAACTTGCTACGTGAATCGTGATTGCCATCTGACCCATCCTTCGTTGCATCTCATTCTTTTACAGGGTGCCCGCTATCTCTTCGAACCTCCATCACCTCTCCCCAGAACGAATCCACAAATCGTCCCCGATACCAGTGTTCCTAGCCTTAACCGGCACAATAGCCCAATCATCGCCGTCAAGAGGGACCTCATCCTTCACAGCCTCGTCCAGGGGATATCTGTGAACAATCTTGATGACATTTCCCTCATTGTCCGTGTAAGTGATCTCCGATCTCACGATGGGACCGCTCCGCGCCGGGATAGATGTGCGATCACCGGGACTACCTTGCTCAATGGCCGGCTCGATAGCACGCTCTTCGGTGGGTTCTCCTTCGTCCCATTCGTATTCAATTTCTCAAAAAATGTCAGTTCACACCGCTGGTCGGAAGTTGGGAAAGGTGGGTACGCTCACCTCCGTTGCTACGGGTCCGGTAGCAATAGTATCGCCTGTGGTCCTCGGACCATATCCAATCACTCCATGGATTGCTCTGCTTCAGTTCCTTGGAGACTTTACTTGATTTGGCATGTTTCGTCATCGTGCCTTGTTGACTGATGAAAACCAGTTAGGGTGATGAGTGATATGGGGTACGACACATCTGGCATTACGATGAGTGGTGCATCATGTCAGAGGCATTTTATACTTCACCGTAGACTACACATCCATTAGGGTGACGAGTTTCATGAGTTCAATGTTGCACTTTTAAGATGGCTTCAAGGCGAATTTGGGGCGAGATTTATGCCTCCGAAGCAACCACTCAAACCCAACGAAAATCATCAGAACCATTCGGTTTATGAATAGTAGATGGTTCAAAGTCTCGGCTCCCAAGATACGAGTTTCCATGCAAGTACACAATAGTAGTTCATACTGGTTCATAGCCAATACAGAGGCCCGGATTGGCTAGATTTGTCTCATTTAAACAGCAAAGTGCACATTGCCTTGCGGTTGTTGCCTGGCGCAGCATGGAAAACCGTAATAGTGAGGCGAACTGTTCCGTTGAATAGTTGCACTTCTGAAAAACCCCACGTCTGTTCCATATACTTTGAGCACAAATGCCACCTGAAATCTTTAAAAATGACTACCGTTCCCAGTCTAGCCCGCTGATCCTCACAACTGCGTATGAGACTGTGTCAGAGCCTGCTTGATCAACCACCACAGCGTCTTGGGATACAACCACCTCGGTGCCATCCAAAAGAACCACGCAAAGGTCCACAAGTAGCCAAAACACCGACTAGCTAGGCACATCCGTGCTTCCGTCCCAGGCTTTAACTTCGCCCTTCTGACCACCTGCATCTTCGCGCGGGACACTACGATCTCAACCGCGATCGCAAAGAAATTGGCACAAAAGAACATTACATCCAAGTGCACGTATCCTTCACCGGTTCTCCAGGCAGCCGTCATGTGCATGATGCCAGAGAGGCAAAACACGCCAAATGCGACGGCCGCTTTTTCGAACGTGGTCTGCGGCTCGTGCTTTATCCGCAGGATGATGCGTGTCCATGTTGTGAGTGTGGGTGTTGCGATGCGGTGCCAGAAGCGGCCCCAGAAGCGTTGGACGGTCCAGGCGTCGGTTATACTGCCGAAGAGAGGTGGCCAGTCTTGTGGGTTGTCGATGCCGAAGAGGACGAAGGTTATGGAGAGGAGAGCGTGGTATGATTCGAGAATGAGGAAATTGGACCATATCCAGGAGAATACCGTAAAGACGCGCAGGAGGATTTGGCGCTGTGATACCGGGTTGTATGTGCAGTCATCGCGCCCGCAATCGAAGATAATTTGCGAGATCATCGGGCGGATGATTGGGTATTTATCCGGAGTAAAGTCTAGGAGGTCGGCTTTGAGGCATATGCGGGCTTTATTCACAAAGCTGTTGGCGACGAGAAGGAGGCCGACCTTCATTGCTCGCCGAAGGAGGAAAAGAGCGCGAGAAGACCATGTCGCTGTGGTTTTTAGGCGAAACGTCAGATGACGAGGGTTGTTCCAAATCCAGCATGCCGCTGAGATGGTCTGTGACTGAGGCCAGCATGCCCTCCTTCGTGTCTTTGGCTTGTCGCATAACACTGAGCGACTTTGTCCGAAGAGGATGTTGGGAAGTATGAGCATGAATATGAAGCTTGTGATGACCGTGTAAGAGCCTAGACCAGTCAATGATGATGCGTTGTCCCAATCAACAGAGAGTAACGACCATGCTGCAAGTAGCCATGCCGGGGAAAAGAATGACCTGTGCGTATGAGTCGGGAAGTGTAGGGCCGCTGTCGTTAGAGCTGCAGAGGCTGCGAAAAGCAGTGGCGGTCTGAGGGTATCGTTAGATAAATCGGCCGACAACGCCATAGCTGACACCAAATCTGTTCATTACAACCAAACAAGTAAAATTTTCAAATGATCTCGCGATATTGAAGACGTAGTAGCTCGATCTCTTTAAGATATTGGACTGAGTCTGCCTCTATACTATCGAGTGTGCTCTCGGTGGATGCACCATCAGCCTGTTGGCTTAGTGAAACGACCGATGAGAGGCGTAGCACCAAGACCTTCTTCCGCTGAACGCATCAAGACAAAGGAGGCATCTGAAAAATTAGACTTAGAGGGGAGCTTAAGCGGGATAATAATCCCTGAGCAGTGATTGTCAACAAGCCTACGAATGGGATGTAACCTCGCACGAGCCCAACTACCTGGTCTTGGCGTGCGTGTGTCTGACCAAAGGGATATAGTACCACATCATTGACTTCGTTGTTGTCTCCCTTTGTCATGATCAGTCGCTCCTGGTCATCACTAGAAAGCTCGTCAGACCATTGTGTTTCACAACCCTTGACTCAGAAAGAGAACATGTCTTCCGACGCAAAAAGGTGGTACCTGAGAAGGAAACTTCATTATCCGAACTTACGCAAACAGTACCTCAACGGCTCGATGTACCATAGGGAGGGGCTGTCCCTGAAACCAAATGACCGGGATGTCGCCGACCTCGACTTCTTGCCAGTTGGCAAGCAAGATGATGTCTCCTCGGGAGAAGGCAGGCTCCATCGACTCTGAGAGGACTACCATTGCTGGGTAAGCGCAGTTGGTAGCCAGACTCAAGGCCTTCCAGGCCATGAAGCTGCGCTCAAGAAGGCGCAAAATGGGAGGGACGCGGCGTGATGGCATGTTGACCTCGAACGGACCCTAGAATAAGAAGCGTAACGCGGACGGGATGGAGAAGGTGATTCAGTTGGTACTTGATAATAGGAGCAATTCGCATGAAGAATTAGTAAACACGATTTATGAACGAACGTGGTGGAGTATATTAAGTACAAATTGCTCAATTGGCAAGTTGTCTTTGGATTTTACTACACGAGGGCTCCAGGTAAATTAACCAGAAGACTCATTCAAATTTGACAGTCCGGTTTGGGAGCACGGCTTGCCACGGTGATATACAGCCTCAGATTGATTCATTTCTATTCATGGGAGCAAACAAGCACTTAAACTACCTCAAAGAAATCATCGCACGGCCCTCATTGCTCGTTTGATTCCTTTATACTGGCTCCTAGTCGTGAAGGAAGCCCGTCGGACGGTACCAAATGGTTTTTTGAGTAGGTGCCTCTGTGTGTTCTCGACGAAAACTGCTTGATCATGCCTCTGTCATCGCCAGCATCGCATCATGGGTAGCCAACGTCGGCTGTATAAAGATGCTACAAATCTCAATATTCTTGGCTCTCATCTATTCCACGTGGGCCATCGTCACCGTCAACTCCTCCTCGACCAAGCCTGGACTTTCGCTCTCTCCTGATCAGCAAAATGCAGACCAACGCAATCTTTGCCGGTGTCATTCTCACCGCCATTATCTTCCTTCAAGGCACCCCCGCCCCACCGGCTCTCATCGGCATCGCAACTGTTGCAGGCACGAAAGTCGCCGGGATCATCAAGGGAGGACTCAAGGCGGGCGGCAAGGGCCGACGAGCCAATGTTGCCTTCCTGCACGCCCGCCGGATGGTCATGGAGATTGAAGCAGAGATCAACAAGCGAAAACAAGAAGACGGATCTGGCAGCGCTCCCGCAGGAACTTCTCAGTATGCCTGGGATGCTTGTTTCGACCAAGTCCAGGTCTCGAACACGCCGATCAACGTCGATGGACCTATCAAGGAAAACCATATCCGCGTAATTGGTCTTCCCCCGGCGTGCATGAATATGGCCACAGCTCTTGGATCACTTGAAGGACAACGTGCGGTGCCTGTGCCGTGTGGCTCTGACTGCATCGAGTATGGGGACATGACGCCGGGTTACTACGAGGCGGTTCGCTCTTTTGTCAACGAACGATTGATCGGGAACAAAACCGTTGTGGAAAAGAGGGACTTCACGCATGCTTGAAGAGAGAACAGACACCGAGAGGGGAGGGGAGGACCCCGGAAGGATCGTTGTGCCGATACCCAATACCCGTGGCGTTCTGGGGATCGGCTATAATTGTGCATATATGATTCTAGAAGTATTCTATTGGATAGAGAAGGCTACTAAAGCAGTTTGGTGGTATCTTCGTATTCATCTTGAGCTGATTAATTCAGCAGCCACAATGGTTTAGCTCCAAAAGGGCACCTGATCTTGACGCTCAAATTCAGTCTTTTTTCCACGGACAAAGTAATTACATCATGGGCCGCGGATGTAACAATGACAACCACCTCGGTGCCATCCAAAAGTCTCTTGCTTGTATCGTACCTAGTAGATTCCCGTTCTTATTTCGGCCACTAGTGATGTACGAGGATCTCGGATGAGGATCATGTGTGTTGATGCATGACCAACCACGGTTGAAACGTCGATCACACCCAAACTTCCATCCTGACAGGAAGGCTTCTAGAATGTGAGATCTGATAGAATTAGCCATATGGATCTCTCGATTAGTCTCTCTTGCTGTTAAGTTGCAAGGGGAGGCTTGTCGCAGAATGTGAGTGGTATGACGCAATCTTTGCATCTCGGATCAGAACACACTCGACGACTGAGGAAAATCAAGGGCATGCATCAATATTCTTAAGAATATGTCATTGAACTGAAGTCATTATCTATGTAATCTATTACACTGTAGTATACACCTCCCTTATTTCCCCTCCAGCATGAAACCTGCGCGTCCCGGCTACGCGTAACGGAATCTCTCAGGAAAGCTCTCCTCCTCAATCGGAGTTTTTGGTAGTTCCTTATTCGTCGTCATCATTGTATGTGGACGACTGAAATTTGAGAATTTTGAGTGTAGACTTGGGCTGATAACACTGACCCCTGTCAACCCGGTCATCGGTCGAGGTGGCCGCGGTGGTGGAGGTGCCGAAAGGCCCGCTGGACTGGGCTGCGGAAATCCCGGAGTAGAAGCGAACGTTGATGTAGTTGGTGCGTAGCTAGGCACGTATCGTGAACTGGGCGCATATCGTGGCGACCCGGCTCTTGAACCGGGATTTGACTGCATTCCGTGTGGTTGTCTCGGGCTTAGGTTTCCGTCACTAGAATATTGGGGGCTGTAGTTTCCCATGGGGAATTTCGGTGTGAGATCGCTGAGAGTGAACTGGTCCACTGCCTGATTCGGTCGCTTGGTGGGTTGTACGTGCGGCGATTGTCTCGAGTTGCCGACTGATATCGACAGATTCTTCTTCGCTCTCCTCCGCTTCTGGAGACTCCTCGGGACGAACGTTTCATACATCTTTCGTTGGAATGTCTTCGTAGTACCAAAAACCAGAAACGCGACGAGACTCGGCGTAACACCAGATACATATCCTCGGACGCTCGAACGTCCTCGCTTGTCGCTTAGATCGGGCTGCAAGTCGTCGGCGAGATCGATTGTGTGGTTCGAGGCTGCGATTTTCGGGATAACGTTGGTATATTCAAAGACACTGCATTTGAGATTAGTCCTCTGGCTTAAAATAGTCTGAGTACCATAAGCCTACCAAAGAACGCAAAATGCAATGGAAAGCCGGATGACGAGCCAGCTGTCGTACGTGTTGTTGGCGCCAGCGCCGCTGTAAGCCCGACTCCTTCCCCCACCACTTCGGCTCGTGTTGCTCCCTAGCCAAACAGACCGTGACTTGCTGCCATTTGCGCTGCTCTCCACAGAACCGGCATTTCCATAGAGGACATTCCATGTCTGAAGATTTCGGCGCGAGTGGACGTATTTGAACAAGATCATGAGTAGTAAGACAGCACTGCCCAATAGACTAAGCACGACTGGATTGTAAGTTAGTCCGGACGTCTCGTCTTGCAAAGGGGATTACGAGGTCCCGCTTACATTGCGTGTTCGCGACAATCATGTACACTAGAAATGAATTTTGCGCTACCGGCGAGTGCATCAAACCGACGGTAATCGCTGTAAGTATGAAGGGCAAGACTCTGCCAATGATCGAGATCGTTCGTGTTGTCCTCGGGGTCGTCGCAAACCACCCGTAAACACTGGCCGCCAATGACAAAGCGCTACTCGGAATTAGATGTTTGGTCTACCCCATCATGACATGGTGAATTGACCTACAAAAAGAAAACAAAAGTGGATTCGAGAGTGAAGCCGAATATTCCTGTGAAAGTCTGTCAGACTCTGCTAGATTCTTCCCGTCTCCAAGTAAACATACGGACGTAGCTCAAGATGAGTTTGACACCCCGAGACCCCTTGAAGTACTGGACTTCTGAATTGTCGGCATGTTGCCTAGCGTAGTAGAACTGATCCGTCAGGATGTCTCTCCATAACGCGTAGTCGTAGAATTGTTGTGCAATGCTCGTCGTGGTGACAACTAAAGTGGCATACGAAATACAGGCGATGTCTGTGATCGTCTGATATTAGTCTCATTGGTCTACACGCTCGGCCTCGATGGTGGCCTCGATGGCGGCCTCGTATCGGACGAAGATGAAGGGCGTTTGTACATACAGCTTGTCCTGTCGTTGTGAATCCAGGTCAGCCACACCAACAGAATGTTGGCAATTAGACAAACAAAAGAATAGAAGATGACCCCGGCGGCGTCTGGCAGGACGGCCGTCGGGAGTTGGAACACCATCACGACTGCCTCTCGCGCAGCACCGTCATCGATGGAATCCAAAATAGCATGACGAGCAGCAAGAACCAGAACGGAGGGGCCGAGCTTTCCTCTGCTCGCTCAGACGGGGACCGCCACGTTTTTGAGGTACCACCCGACGGCCATCTCGAAACGGCCCACCAGGGGGCATCGCAGCCCCCTGGTGGGGGTTGACGGCCGCGGTGTTGGCGGGATTCCTGCTTGCTGCTGCTTGTCATCCGATATGGGCCATATGGGTTCCAAGATGGCATCCTGTTGCATGGGAAGATGACTCGCTCTCGACGCGGGAGCCTTTTTGGGAGCCGATTCCCCATCTTCCCGAAACGAACCCCTGGCCCTGGCCAGTCGCCTATTCCTGTGGAGGAAACACAAGGTATTGGTGCTAATCCGGAAGGGTAGCCGAATTCGCAGCCTGACTCGCAGTTTGGCCAATACTGCAACCATACCTGCCGTCTTACATATTAAAATAGTGACCATTATATTGTTGCGTCAGCGTTAAGCCGCCCGCACGTGGTTTCTTGGTGACACTGATACGCCTTGAGGTGATTTAAGTGTCAACAAGGTCGCAGCTTGGGACTGCAAACCTGAACTCACGTAAATTCTGAGACGCCCGACGCTTTTCTCAACGGGACCTTTTATGCAGTAGTACTGCGGTAGAAGTGGGCGGCTGGAGCCTCTGCAGCCTCTGCAGAACTCGCTCGGCCGCTCTGCAGGAACTTATGATCGGTCCATCGGATCCTGCACTGCACCAAGCCACCAACACTTTTCGGCACGCAGCATTTTTGTGGATAGAGCCCATTGCAACAAGTAGTCAACTCCGCGCGGGCGACCAGCGGCCCGGAGATAAGCTTCGTGTGTTAACTTCCGATGGATTTCGATTTTCAATAAATATCCAGCCATCTGGATCAGGCGTCTGGTGCCATTCCGATTCCTACCAAACGATTCATTGCGCCAGACTTTTTTCGTGTCGGATGAACCGAAAAATAGAGTGCAGACAGAGTTCGTCCCACGGGAGAACCGACACGATGGATGCGTCTATGCTTGCGACCGGGCAGTCCCTCTTCATAGTCTTGGCGGAAACCGACTGCAGCCCTCTTATCCGCCGCTCGGCGATTTCGAAAACCCGAAGTGCTTCTT